ATAGATAGATAGATAGATAGATAGATAGATAGATAGATAGATAGATAGATAGATATGAGGTCTGTCTCAGAATAAAGTTTCCTTGTCATGCTGTCCTCACATATATAATTATAAATCACCTTGTATTTGGTTTTAATAGAAAGCTTATTTAAATACCTATGTTACGTAAGAACCATCAAGTTCTAGACATTTCTCCATTTCATGTACCCAGCGGTCAAAGCCATTGGTCAGGGATCGTTTGTCCAAGGTCCTGAGTGCTTTTCTCATAGCCTCTTGAATCTAGTCCTCGCCCTCAAATCGCCGACCTCGCAGCATTTTTTTCACATTGAGGAATAGGTGGAAGTAGCATTGGACGAGATAATGCGAGTATGGCGGGTGTTCCAACCTTTCCCACGAGTATCCATCGAGAAGCTCGTTCAAAACTTTGGACTTGTGAACAGGCGTGGTGTCATGATATGGGTCTCAGTTTGTCTTTGAGGACGAACCTGTAGAAGTCACCACTGACAGTTACGCCAGGTGGGACTGGCCAGCTCAGTATGATGCCACTCATATCGGAAATAAAACAATGTGCATCACCTTTCTCTCCCCGTGTTTTCTTCGGGCTTTCTGTGGCCTCGGCTCATCCGAATCAAATCATTGAGCCATCTATCTTTCAACTCGGGATCAAATGGGTACACCCAAGTTTCATCTCCAGTGACGATTTTACTTGAGAAACTCTAAACCCTCTTGCTCAACACGTGTCAAAGAGCGCCGAGCCGCTTGAGCACGGACCTGTTTCTGCTCTGGTGTCAACAAATGGGGCATCCACCTTGAGAAGACTTTTTTCTTGCCAAGATCGTGGGTCAGTATTTGGTGAACGGTTGCACTGAGCATACCGACTATTTCACTTATTTCCCTGCATGTTCTTCGCGTATCTTCCTCCACAACAGCTTTGTTTCTCTCTGAACTGTCGCCACAAATGACGACTGGGGGCCTCCCGGTGTGCGCTTCTTCTTTCATGTCAGACCTCCCAGCTTCAAACTCCCTGACCCATGTTCTTACTATTTGAATTGATGGGGCATTATTCCCTATTAGTTTACTTAGATCATCATGGGTTTCAACTGCAGACTTGCCGAGAAGAGATGAAAATTTGATCACAACTCAGACATCGTTGTTGAGAAGGCTGCATCAATGTTTTGCTCTGCCATTTTTCTCGGTTTTGCCTTGGACAAAATGCACAAGAACACCACACTTGACACGTCACAGCTCTGTGACGTGTTCACCAATGTACTTGCAATTTGGCGTCGAAATTTCTTAGACACGATGTCACAACATTTAGTGGCTGTTTGTTGCTTACTTTTGATTTTATGGAAGAGGGAAACTTTATTCTGTGACTGACCTCGTAGATAGATAGATAAATAGATAGTGTTCATGCGTGTTTCTATTTTTAGCCTTTATTAGTTGTGTATGTGTGGGTATATGTGTGTATGTGTGTGTGTGTGTATGTGTGTGTGTGTGTGTGTGTGTGTGTGTGTGTGTGTGTAAATAATACATTACATGATAGACATCCAAATCCAGGGTCATAAAGAATAATGTGTCATCTTTGTTTCGCTTTGTCTTCAGGAGTCTATCATGTATACTCGACTAAAGCCAGAGGTTCTTATATTTTAGTCGTATCGACACTGAGACAGCCGACTGATCAGCTTTAAATGTGATCGTTTGCAGACGTCAAAATGTCGAAAGGGGGCGAAATCAACAAAAGTTCTGACAGAGGTCGGAAGGGAAAGTACAAAGGACACACACCAGAAGGAGATGAACCAGACCACAGAAGTGGAAGTCGTACAGACGACAATCAGAGACACGGTAGTCCTGAAAGGCAGCAGAGAACTTTCAGCAAAGGCGACCGCTCGTCAAAGAGTCCGGACAACAACACACGTCGGCCTCAAAACAACCCTAAAAATAAAAGCGGTAACGAGAGCAAAGAGAACTCGAGGAATAAAGCGCTCGAAAGCGGAGGCTCCAACAAAGGATCTACTGTCAGCAACAGGTCGAACAGTCAGAAGCCGAAGAACCCCGATAACAAAGCTGCTCTCGAGACCATCATTTGTCTTCGTAACAAACTAAAAAGTTTCAAGAAAAAACACATGGGCGCTTCCGCTAGATACAAATACCCGTCGTGCGCCCAATGTTTGGAGGAAGACATCCTCCGGATGTGGCGGATGTCGTCTGAAAAGCTCCATGAAGCAGACGACTTCCTGAACATTACTCTCCAAAAACCCGTGTACGAAGACATAATGGATTCCGACGACTATATGGACTTGATCACCATCGCCCAACGAGAGCAGGAGTTCAGAACCCTTGTTCCTGAAGTACGAAGACGACTCTCTAACTGCCTAAACCAACACGTATATAAATCTTGTAAGAGCCTGAAAGAGGAGTCGGGGGACTACGTTGTAGTTTCAGCGCAGGAGTACGAAAGCAACATTTCAAAATATATCTCTGAAATTGAAGCAAAAAGCAACGAAATTGAAGATGGCCATTCATCTTACCAGCAAATGCGTACCCCATTCCTTGAGTTTGTGAGAAGAGGTGAAGAACATTCTGGATGTATGAACAAACTGAGTAATTCTCTTTTGGAGGCGTGTAAGATTGTGGAGACGTGGGTACGGGAAGATGACGAGTATCCAGACAAGCTGACACAGGAAATGGAATCTACCCGGAAGTTGAAGGAAAACGTCAATGAGGAGGTGGAGGCGGTAGGTGTCCTTTACACTTTGTTGTTGTTGTTGTTGTTGTTGTTGTTGTTGTTTTTGCTGCTGCCGCTGTTGTACTCGTAGTAGTAGTAGTAGTAGTAGTAGTAGTAGTAGTAGTAGTAGTAGTAGTAGTTGTTGTTGTTGTTTTTGTTGTTGTTGTTGTTGTTGTTGTTGTTGTTATTGTTTTACCCAAGGACGATAATTGGTAAGAAAATATGTTAGATTTTCTTTATTCTGAACTGATCAAATATTACGTTTACTTTTACGTTTTCATCCTCTGTTGCCGTGGAGTGTCTATGGTAGGCCATCTCTGCAGCTCTTTCAACTGAGATGTTACAGTTTTTCAGGTTCCCTTTACTCCCTCTATTCATCTTTTACGAGGTCTACCTCTTCCTTTATAGCCTGAGTACTTGGTGTTATAGGCTTTCGCGACTGGCTGACTAGCAGGGGTTATTCATAACAGAGAGCCAAACCATGTTATTCTTTGTTTTTCTATAAAATGCAGACATCACTGTATGCCAACAGTTGCTTTTAGATCGTCATTTCTCTGCCTGTTTTTTTCTTCTGATGTTTAAGATTTTGTAGTGACATTTTATTTCGCATCCAGTGATTTTGCTTTCATATCATCACGTACATTCATTCATGAGAATCATCTAAATCATTGTCAGGAGCAGACTGTGATAGTGACCATGTACCAGTCATGTGTAAAATGCGGATAAGACTGAAGAAACTCAAAAAGTCAAAATATTAACCTAAATTTGACATAGGTCTTTTAAAGACAAATCAAGAAATGAAAGAACGTTTCTCCATAGATGTAAGAAATAAATTTCAAGCTTATGAAAACATTACTAAATCGGAAGAGCTATGGAGGAAAATTATCCCCCCGAAAGCTAAAAAAGCTAATAAAAAATGGATGACCCGGGACATATTAAAACTAATGGAAGAGAGCAGAAAGGCAAAATCAAATGTGGAAAAGTACAACATCTTAAACAGGGAAATAAAGAAAAAATGCAACGAAGTAAAAGAAACATGGATAAATGATCAGTGTCAACAAATAGAGAAGAACCAAAACAAAAACAGCAAATACATGCATTCAAAAATCAAAGAAGTAAGAGGGATAAAAGGATGCTCAAACACAGGATGCATAAGATCAAAAGGAGGGGGTATTTTAATGGACAACGGGGATGTCTTAAACAGATGGTCAGAATACATAGAAGAACTTTTCAAAGATAATAGAGGAGAAAAACCGGTAATAAAGAATGAAATAAATGGACCACCAATACTGAAAGCAGAAGTACAAGCTGCCATTAGGAAAATAAAACAAGGAAAAGCCACAGGGCCAGATAATATAAGATAAGATAAGACAAGATAAGATAGTACTTTATTATCCCAGAGGGAAATTTTCCTTTGCTGTACAGGACCGTAAAAACACATGCAGGTATACATAAAAAAAATTAAATTATATATATTACTCTCATTAAAATTCAATATGGAAGGAGAAGTAAAGCTGACAAAATGTACATTTACATCAAATGCATCATTCAGTCACATGCAGGAATTTAAATACTAGACCTTTGGAGTGATATACAGATACATACTCTAAGAGCAACACACATCTATGCTCATTCTGACAAAAGCCTTATGCTAGATGGTAAAAAACTTCTTTTATGTCTTTCTTTCTTTGTTTTAGGAGGAACATATCTGCCGCTGCGTGATCTTACAATTTGTGTGGAAAGGGGGTGTGATGGGTCGTTTATAATACTTTTTATCTTTTTTATACGTGTGGTGTTATACATTTTATCCATTCTTATAAAATCATATCCAGAGATCTTGCTGGCTTTCGTAATGGTTCTGTCAAATTTTTCTTTATCTTTCACCTTACAATTCCCACCCCAGCAGCAAATACAAAATAATAGCACACTTTCAATCATAGAGTGGTAAAAAAGGGACATAATCTTATTGTCAGCACGGAAACTTTTTAATTTCCTTAAAAGAAACATTCTTTGATTTACCTTTTTATGCACAATAGCAGCGTAGGGATGCCAGTCAAGTTTGTCGTCGATTGTTACACCAAGATACTTGTAAGAGCTTCACCTCCACCTCTTCATCTTTAATAAATAGTGGTTGCAATTGGTCTTTTTTTACTCTAAAGTCTATTATTAATTCCTTTGTCTTTTTTACGTTTAGTATAAGGAAGTGGTTATCACACCAATTTGTAAATAGATTCACAGTGTCCCTGTATTCATTCTCATTTGTTGTTATGAGGCCTTGTAAAGTGGAATCATCTGCAAATGTTATTAGTTTGATGTTTTTGTTATCAAAAGTACAGTCGTTGGTGTAGAGCGTAAACAAGACAGGGGAGATTACACAGCCTTGGGGCGCAGCGGTATTCGTGAATATTAGGTCGGATTTTACACCAATATATATATATATATATATATATATATATATATATATATATATATATATATATATATATATATATATATATTCCAGTTGAAGTGATTGTTGCTCTTGAAGAACTTGGCACTGAAATAACAACAAAGCTCCTAAATGCTATTAATGACAGCGGTGAGATCCCAGAAGATATGATGAAGTCAGTTTTTATAGCTTTACCTAAAACACCAGGTGCCACTGAGTTTGATATGCATAGAACAATTAGCTTTATGAGTCATTTTACAGAAATATTGCTGCTAGTAATAATGGGAAGATTGAGAAAAAATGTAAGACCAGAGATATCTAAAATGCAATTCGGCTTTGTTCCTGACAAGGGAACCAGAAATGCTATATTCACCTTAACAATGTTAATGGAAAGATGTATTGAAGCACAGAAAGATCTATATTCATGCTTCATAGATTATTCAAAGGCGTTCGATAAAGTTAGACATGATGAGCTATTTAAAATACTGGAAAAGCTAGACATAGATGGAAAGATCTAAGAATTATCAGAGATTTGTACTGGGACCAAAAAGCTGCTGTACGAATTAATGGAGAATACAGTGAATATATGCAGATTAGGCGAGGAGTGAGGCAAGGATGTGTTATGTCATGAGCCCAATCCTGAAAAATAGAAACATCTCAATGAACACCAAATTGAGAGTCCTGAAATGCTATGTTTGGTCAACCCTTCTATATGGCTGTGAATGCTGGACAATCACTAAAGACAGTGAAAATAAAATAGAAGCAACAGAAATGTGGTTTCTTAGGAGACTGCCAAGAGTATCGTGGAAAGAAAGGAAATCAAATGAGGTAGTGCTTGATGAAGCCCACGTAGGACGCCGCTCAATGTTAAAAACAATCAGGAAACGACAAATGCAGTTTTTGGGACACCTGAATAGACATAAGGGTCGTGAACATCTAGCTCTCACTGACAAAATTGAGAGCAAGCGAGGCAGGGATAGGCCCAGAACAACACACTTAGAGAACCTGAACAAATGGGTAACAGGGAAAGATCAGGGAAACGTAGTTTTTTTTTTTAGAACATCCGAGCAAAGGAATGAATGGAAAACCATGATCGCCGATGTCTGTCGCAGATCTGGCACTGGATGATGATGATGATCATCATATGTTTTACTTAATGTACAGGTGTGGCACTGGTAGCATAATGTTAGTATTGACGGGATAAGATGTCTCCTTGTATTCAAGGAGACGTTTGGATGAGGTAGAAGGGGTGCCAGCAGATAAGTGTCGTTGTTGGCTTTTAGAATTCGTATTTCTATTTCTCTGTCCATGGAACCGATTTCAGTTGAAAAAATAATCGTGCAAAGATATTTTAATTCCTTGACCTGTTCTAGTTGGGTTCTTTTTATTGCCATGAATGTTCAAGGGGTACAGTGGTTTCTGTTAAATTTCATGAATTCTGTTTTTGATGTGTTAATTCTCATGTCAAATTTCTCACAGCTATTGTTCAGTTCGGTGGTATAGCTTTGCGGAATGTAGTAGATTGAATGAATAAGGAATTGATCGTCTGAAAACGGAAGTTCATTAAGGCTTTCTGGGCTTCGGTTGCGTCATGCGATATAGTGTCGTTATTATATTGATCAAATAATCTCTCATAAAAAAGTTGTTTTTTTAGTAGTACTCTTTGGCGTAAAAAAAAATGTTTCGATATAATAAATTATAATAGTTTTGAATTTAGAATATGTTTTTAAACAAATGACTTAAAGTAACATAATATGTGGTGACCCCTACATCAGAAAAAAAACCTGTGGTGTAGTTGTTAAGCTCTTCCATTTGTACGTCAAGTACATGAGCTCATTCCTCTTGTGGGAATTCTGTTCTATAAAGTATTCCCAACTTCCTGGTAAGATTCTTTACCCGGTGATGGTCAGTCTCAATAGCGTGGTGGCTGGTTGGCGGGTGTTCTGGTGTGGTTTGCTCCTTCTTTCCTCTCAAATATTTATCGTCCCCTTGTCTTCGGCACTTGTATGATCTAATGTTTTGCAAGTGCCGCAGACTGCTCACCAAAACTAAGAAAAATAACTCAGCATCTTGTCTCCTAGCTGATCTAAACTGGGACGATTGAAGCATAAGGAATTTACCAGTAGATACCAGGGAAAAAAGTCAAATATGTCCAAGACGAGGAACCATTGTCGAGGAGAAAAGGGGTTCTCTTAGACAGTGGGACCTCTTGTACAGTATCCATTATAAAGATTTAATGGAAAAAAAAGCCCGCAAATGGGGAAGTGGGAAGTGGTTGTTTGAACAGGTGATTGTCTTAGAGAGGTGGTCGTTAGGGACCAAGTTCGACTTTAACCAGACCTGCACAGCTCATTCTGTTGTGCTGTTTAAAATTATAATACTACTAAGTCTTTCGAACAGAGCTTTCGTGTGATTAGTACAGTCATCATTTGAGACTAACCTTTTATTTGTTTGACATGTGCCAGTTTGTAGCATCAACTCACTTTGTGTTTCTGGGCGTCACAGTTGTTATTGTTGCTACTGTTTCTTTTTACTTGAATAATATGTGTGTGTGTGTATGTGTGTGTGTGTGTGGGTGTGTGTGTGTGTGTGTGGGTGTGTGTGTGTT